GGAGGAAGAAGGAGGGTGAGTAAACTGAAGGTGAAGGTCTTACCCACAGTGAGGTGGGAGGAGTTGACACAGTTGCGTTGTGTATCGTCGAGCACCAGAGGATGTGGACAGCTGCAGTAATACGAACCCACCGTGTTGACACAAACTCCTCCGATACAACTCTCCTCCTCACACTCATCATGGTCTGAGGCAGACAGACCGGTGGACAGACAGACAGTTACGTTATATTGTTCATTGAGGCTTTTTAGAAATGTGTGTGATTGTTTGTGTCTCTGTTCTTATTTCTTCTGCTGTATTCAAGTATAGATCTGAGTGAGATTAAATAAAGGTTATAAGAGAACGTGTCTCTGGCCGTCTGTGTTATTAGACTGTACTGCCCTCCAGAGGCAAACCACAGTTACTACAACTTTGGTCAAAATTGATTTATGACTGAAATTGAACTTTTAAAAGTACAGCTTCGGCTGCAGTTACTGTGGCTTCAGTGCCTGTAAATCCTGAATTCTGGACAATATCAGGACAATGTTGGAATTAAAACAAAGGGAATCTTCATGTTCTCCACTGGGAACTCTGACTGACTCCATCTGTGGATTATTAGCTGAGCTCATTGGAGCAGATAGTGATAATAGTTCACATATTACTGTGCTAGTGCTAGTTAGCTAGACAGTGAAAGTTTTTCAAATTTTACAATTAAAATGAATGAATTTCAATTTTAAACACATGAAACAATCAGAAATACAGATTTAATGTAATAAATTAGATTTAGTCAGGAAAAAGACAGGATTTATTAAGTCATGAACATTACTTAGAAAATACATATTTATGGAGGGCAGCTTACCATACTTCAACGTGCTAATAAAAGTGTTGCATACCCGACGGTATTGAGTTTTTGAGCATCCTTAAAGCTGTACTGTACCTGAACATGTCGTCGGGGTTCAGAGCAGCCAGCCAGTAGCTGTAGGAGTCGGTGTAATAGTTGCAGGTTCCTCTGCCGTGACACTCAATGAAGGGGATCTTCCTGAACCTTTCCAGACAGGATCCAGGAGAGGCCAGAGGCTGACCCGACCCCTCTGCCCCCACCCCAGTTTCCTAGAGATCAACAGCATCGACAGCAAGGGTCAAAGGTCAAATCTATGGGGCGTATCAGTTTCAACTTCACAAACAATAGCCATACTTTGGTCAAATGCACTGTAGGAAATAAGACATTATTTAGACTTTGAACAGCCAGACTCAATCCGACCCAGCAGTATTAGCTAACCATCACGAAGGAGTATCCGGACCAGAGAGGGTCCCAGTTCTGAGGACAGTCTGGAACTGAACTGGTCTGACTGTGGACGGCGATGACGTTGGCTCTGGCCTCACATATAGTACACCTAAAACACGCGGAACATTTTGAAGATGGTTAAAAGATAAAAGCGACATATATATAGAGTCACATTTTAGCTAATGTAATCCAAACAATTAGCAAGTGCAATTAACCCAAGCTGGGTCAGGTTGTCCACAGTGAACGAGGTCCTGTGTTACCGGCTGATGTAATTCTTCAACGACTCCCCGGAGATGAACGGCATGCTGCTCGGCAGTATTGTATCAGTGGACAGCCAATAGGAGTAGTCGTTGCGTGAGGCGTAGCGACAGGTGCTGTCGGTGTTGCAGAACAGAAAGGGCATGGTGGTAAAACGAGGCAAACAACTACCTAATGTACCTGGAGAGAGAGAGAGAGAGAGAGAGAGAGCGAGCTTAATTGATTCCAACATACAAGTCCAATGTTTAAAAAATATAATTATCCTCAAAACAACTCAAAATACCGTTTAAACCACCATTTTATATTTTGAAAATGTCAGAAATGGATTCAGCTTCATCTTCAATAACCCCCCAAACCTATATTGTCCGAATCAGCCAAACAGCTACTGAAATATTGTCCATATAGCTGATTATTAATGCTAATTATGCTAATTGTCCAACATATGCAAGTTAGCATCTGTCAGTTTCTAAATGCTGCGGACCCCCACTGAACATCTCAACTTTGGTACTTTTAAGTAATCTTGAAAGTGCAAAAAAAAAAAAAAAAAAGTAACTCAACATGCAAAATCTCCCATCTCTAATTATTAGTTTATATGTAATTGTATTATTATTTTTGATGCAATAATGCTGTAGCTGGTTGAGATGGACCAGCTTAACTACTTTATGTATTGTTGAGCAGTGTCATCTTAAAAACTGCTTTGTATTTAATACTATGATCAGTGTTAGCCCAAAGAGGTTTTATCTGTTTATTTCACAGTTTTTATTATTTGGGGTCTTTTATTCTATTCAATTCTCTAATTGTACTGATTAATTGGTTTAATTTAGTTTTTCCCTGTAAAACAATTTATAAGATTGTTTTGAAAGGTGCTGCAAAAATACATTTGATTATTATTAATTATTATTATTTTTATTAATTATCTGTTTTATACAGAGGTGGGAAGTAAAGTACAAATACTTCCTAACTCTCCTTACTTTAGTTTTATTTTTTCTCACTAATGTCTGAGTATAACATGAAAAACTAGCAAATGTTGTTTTCTTTTTAATGAATATTGTAATGATAATAGTCATGTGAAAATGCATATATTTTAGTCAAATAACTAAATTTGGGGAAGCTTCAGTTAGCACAGAAACAATGAGAAATGAGAAACCGAGAGAGTACTTTGTACTTTAGTAACTAATGTGTGAACTTTTACCACCTGGTCATTTTAATGAATAAAGCATAAAAGTATAAATACAGCAGTAGGAATATTTCCTTATGTTACCAAGGTCTTGTCCATGCGCTCGGTTGTTTCCGTTGATGAACAGCAGCGAGTATCCGCTGTACACCTCAGAGGATCCCGCAGGGCATTGTGGGACTGCGAGTTCCTGGCTGTGTCTGGTGAACAGGAAGCCATCCTCTTTCGGTGTGTCACTGCAAGTTCCTCGTGGACCTCGAATACCTTTAGCACCAACCGGACCTCGTGGACCTGCGATACCTGTCAACACAGAATCATCGTAATGTTAGCTCTCTGAGCAGCGGGAACTAGAAATATCTTCCGTTGCCAAGTCGGAAACGTAGTCATTGCTTCTGAAAAACTTTAAACACATAAAAATATAAATAAATTATCTTAATTTCTTTTTTCTTTGGCAAGTGGCCGTGGTATGAGCGGGATAATGCCCAACAAGGTGTCTAATATCAGGAATTAATGGACTTTGTTGAGGCAACCGGTTCTGGTCTCCATGTTGTCCATTAACTAGTCCTTTAGTTTACAGAGTCTTTATTCCAGTGTAAGTTATGTGGTTCTGTTTAAAAGCTAACAGATTTGGTACCTTTTGGTCCGTGTAATCCTTCGTCTCCCAGTTCCCCTTTCAATCCAGGACGACCACCTAGTCCTCTTTTACCATCCTTCCCTTTGTTGCCCTTAGGACCTGCATCCAAAAACACAAGTGCTTCTAAAACTCTTTTCACTCCATTTGTGTCTCAAACTAAAGTTACATTGTATATATCTAAAACTGGATTTACTTTGTACTCACCTCGACCTCCAGGGCTACCTCTGGATCCTGGGGCTCCTACTTGTCCTGGGGATCCTGGGGCTCCAGGTGGGCCTATGTTTCCTTTCTCCAAAACCACCTCTATGCTTACATCCTTCCCCCTCTGGCCTGCAGGGGGCAGTATTCAGTACAGCGACAGTACCCTGCAGTATCAGTACTACCAACAGCAGTATCAGTACTACAGACAGCAGTATTAGTACTACAGACAGCAGTATTAGTACTACAGACAGCAGTATCAGTACTACAGACAACAGTATCAATACTATACACAGCAATATCAGTACTACAGACAGCAGTATTAGTACTACCAACAGCAGTATCAGTACTACAGACAGCAGTATCAGAACTACCGACAGCAGTATCAGTACTACAGACAACAGTATCAGTACTACCGACAGCAATATAAGTAGTACAGACAGTAGTATTAGTACTACTGACAGTAGTATTAGTACTACTGACAGCAGTAACAGTTTGCTGTCCACTGTGTTGTGAACATTGGGTTACCTCTAATCCCAGGTGGTCCTTGAAGTCCTCGTGGACCCTCGTTACCTGGTGGTCCAGTCTCCCCCTTCAAACCTGAAACACCCACAAAGAGTCCATAGGGGAATCTACGTTTACATTAAGATTACCTGAAAGCTTACTTTGTATCTAAAACCAAATTTACTTTGTATCTTTGTTTGAAGATGACCCTGAAAACAAATATTCAAACACTGTTCTGTCTCCAGTTTCAAACTGCTGTTAAGCAGGGGTGCCCGTCAGACTCACAGTCTAAATTTTATATGACAACCAGAAAAACCCTACAAAGGAGGTGATACAACCACTAAATCCTTGCTTTAGCAGGAACACACAGCAAAATACAACAAGCAAGAACACAATACACCAAACGTCCGTAATCCCCACACTGTGTTACATAATCAGCAAATTAAAACTCCTTTTCAGGCACCCAGAAACAACTAAAAATTACTCAGTTTGAGATTCAAACTCAAGTGCGTCCTTAAAGGCAAGAGCTAGCAGACAAATACCAACCAGCTTGCCGAGATAAGACCAGGACCAGACCCCAAGATGATGATGGCAGAGATTATCCTTCATTTGTCATGATACTGTTCAATATACATATCTAAGCAGAGTTCTTACCGACGGGTCCCTTGACACCAATCTCTCCCATCTGGCCTTTGGGTCCACATGGGCCTCCTGGTCCGTTTTTACCCTGCCAACAACAACAACTGTGTTAGTACTATGATGATTTGATCAGACACATATTCTCTCATATGTCTTATTTTTGTCAGTATCAGAATCAGACTTACTTTTATTGGCCAGGTATGTGTACATATACAAGCAATTTGACTCCATTGTTTTACATTGCTCTCAATGTACATAAGACAAGATGTTCCTTTATTAATCCCCCATGAGGGAAATTAAAAATACATATACAGAATAGGATAAATAAACAACTAGAGAGACAACTCAACTTATAAACTAGAATGTACATTTTCATGTTCATATCCATCGATTTCTGGGATTCACCAGTGTTTAAATTACAAAATTAGATCCGCCTGATCTAAGGTCTAATATCAACTGGATACTGAGTACACAGAGATTCAGTTGAACTGTGAGACGTACTGACCGGCAGGCCTGGTGGACCTGGGTCACCAGGGCAACCAGATGGTCCTGCGTCACCTGATGTTCCTTTACAGCCCTTCTCTCCTTTAAAACCAGGACCTGGAGGACCAGGAGGACCCCGAAAGCCTGGTTGACCTGCAGAAAGACAGACTCACCACAGTTACATTTTACAGTTGTGTTCTTTCTTCATTTAGAGCTACGATATGTTAATAAATCTGGTTTACATGTCTTATCTGATGTTGGCTGTGGGCAGACCAGAAATAAGTTTAAGAAATAAGTTTTTTACCCTTGGTCCAGGCCAACTGAACTAAACTGGAGTTGTGAAAGAGACCTCAGTGTCTATGACCGTTCTGTAAGTTTTGTACACAGTGGCTGTGTACATAGCACGGCTTTAAGTTATTGCGTCTGCAATGCAATTTGGCTCCATGATGCGTGTCTTCAAATCTTCCAAAAGAGTGTTTCAGAAGCAGAGTGAGCCAGACAACATTACGGCCATGTCCGGTGGAATTTAGGGGCAACTCTACAACCACAACAAAACATGCAGACTCAATATGGAAACGTGGCCCATTGGTGTGGTAGGAACGAAGGTCTCATCCTATAGTATAGTTTTTACGTTATGTTTTCCTGAGTGATATCATACATTTGTACCATGTGTTTATAGATAAATTTGACAAATTCATTCAAATGTCATTTGAAATTCATTTTATCTTGAGTATAGAACTAATGGCCATGCTAATAGCTCTGTGAGGCTGTACTCAGACACAGTGGTGCTTTAAACTAAATGTTAACGATGTACAGCTGAGGCTCATGTCATCAGATACCATCACCCAGGCGACTCATGTGGCTGACCAGACCCTGACATGTGTCCCAGAAGCACTACCCTACAGATCTTCTGATCTAGAGTCATGTGTGGTCCTGTGATCTGGTCCTGCTATTTGCCAACCTGAGGATGCAACAGCAAGAATGCTCTGCAAATACATGCATCAAGATCAAAAGCTCTAGAACAGCTACTTAATCGACCTTGTGGTGAGACTGTTTTATGTGTCTTGTCACCTTTGGGTCCTTTTTCTCCAAAGAATCCTTTTTCTCCCTTTTCTCCTCCAATGCAGACTCCCTCTGTGCCGGGACAACCAGGAGGACCAGGAGGTCCAGGAGGACCAGGAAAACCTGGGTTTCCTTCAGGACCAAAAGGTCCAGCAGGACCACAGGGACCAGGAGGACCCTTCTCCCCAGCAGGCCCTGATGATACAAGAGGAGGTGGAGAGCGGGTGTTTTATTTATTTTCCTTTAGAAAAACAAAGTCATAATCAGACACAGGTACTCACCTGCTGCACCTTTATTCCCCTCTGGGCCCTGAGATCCGACTCCAGGAGCTGAGGACAGAAAAAACCAACCAATCAGAAGAGAGAGAAACATCCACACCTTTATCCACTCAGAATAATCACTGTCTCTTACCTCCCATGGCTCCTTTCTCTCCAGGAGGTCCAGGTATCCCGTCCTGTCCCTGGTTTCCTCTGGGACCAGCTGGACCAGGATCTCCAGGAGCCCCCTTGTTACCTGAAAATTAAAATATATTTAATTAATTGAGATAAGGACTGTGCATTTCTCCCCTCACTATCTGATACATATCCAGATACATGGACTATGATTTGATTCAGGGACAATGCATTTTAATATGGAACAATTCTGTGTGATGCAATCTGATTCAAATCTTAGTATCTGTTTATTGTAAACATTTATTTTCCAACTGCAACTACATCGGTACACAGACCCCTGGATGAATCTAAATGTACCATGACCCGGTCAATGGTCTGATTCTAAAGTTTTGAATCTGTTGACTGAAGCTTTGCTGCTAACATTGTCTCCACTCTCTTGAAAGGTCAATGCAAGGGTACAGCTTACTACAAGTGCAACGAGAGTACTGTTAGCACAGCAAGGCTGACCAACAACGCAAAGTGCACCATCAAATCTAAAATCTAAAGCTTGGAAGACATTTGGATTTTATAAGAAGCAAGTAAAGTTTGACAAAAGTCTGTCCATTTATCATATTGCGTCGAAACGAAACAAATCGTATCACCTGCATATGTGTCACCATGCTGTCTCACAAGGTGAGCGCTGTTATCTTACAGATCTTATAAATGGCCTTTTTTCCAACTACTCCAGATGTCTTCCAAACTTTAGATTTTAGATTTGATGGTGCACTGTAAATCGAGTCGGTGTTGTCGACGAGCTACACTGCGCTAACATTACTCCCTCTTGCAGCAAGACCCTGCCGTTGACCTTTTACCTTTCACAAGAGTGGAGACGCTGTTAGCAGAAAAGCTTCAGTCAACAGATTAATTACTGTAGAAGCGGACCATCGACCGGTTCATGGTACATTTAGATCCATCCAGGAGTTGTAGTTGATGTAGATGTAGTAGTATCTATAACGTCACTGCACATTGGTTTATGTGGTTTATGTACCTGTAAGGCCGGTGGGTCCTGGAGGGCCATTTTTTCCTGGAGGACCATCACAACCCTTTCCACCAGGAGGCCCAGGAGGACCTGAGATAGACAGACAACAGATGCATTAATGTAGTTTGCAGAGGGTGTAGTAATTTATTCTGAGCTTGTAAGCTTTATAGTGTGCTTGAACACAAACCGCAGATATATGACGTTTAAACAAATCAGACCTCTGCATCCTGGGGGTCCAGGATTCCCATTGGGGCCACACGGACCACAGTCTCCTGGGGGACCAAAGTTTCCTTCATCCCCTGATTTCCCCTTTTCCCCTGGAGGTCCAGAACATCCCTTATTCCCCTGAGATGAGGACATAGGAAGAAATTATATGTTATTGTTTGTTCAAATTAAAGTAGAAGGTTTTATATTTCTAACAGAATACATCCAGGTAATAAATACATGTAAAAAAAAATATAAAAATACAACGTTTGAGCTTCTAAAAGACGTTTTGTATCTTTTGTGGTTTAATTTATGCTCCTTAAGCCTTTGTGTAGGGGGTAAAAACTGAAACTCTCTTTATAGATGTATTTATTTATTTTAGAGTTGTAGGGACAGAGAGATAGATGCTTGGCTTGTGTGAAAGATAGGAAAGAGAAGTGAAAGAGAGAGTAAGAGAGAGAGAGAGGTTGTTGGTAACATAAAGTAGTACATCATCTGTATACAAGGGTAACAGCTTAGGCGTAAAGCACCTTCATTTTAATGTATTATAGGTCATCCTATAAATATTGAGACTCTACCCATTCATATGATTCTGCAATTAATTAAACAGCCTCTAGTTTAATGATTCTTTGGAAAATTAAACTAGCTGTAATTTTATTACAAAAACATAATAATAATAATACATTTT